TGGTGGTCAGTGTACAGCATGATGGTGGTGTTGGTGGTGGTGGTGGTGGTCAGTGTACAGCACGGTGGTGGTGAGCACGGTGGTGGTGGTGGCACGGTGGTGGTGAGTGTGGTGTGAGCACGGTGGTGGTGGCGGTGGTGTGTGAGCACGGTGGTGGTGACTGGTGGTGGTGTGTGCACGGCATGGTGGTGGTGGTGGTGTGAGCATGGTGGTGGTGGTGTGGTGGTGTGAGCACGGTGGTGGTGGTGTGTGTGTGAGCATGGTGGTGGTGACTGTGGTGGTGGAGCACGGTGGTGGTGAGTGTACAGCACGGTGGTGGTGGTGGTGGTGTGAGCACGGTGGTGGTGGTGGTGGTGGTGCACGGTGGTGGTGTGGTGGTGGTGGTGGTGGTGAGTGTGCAGCACGGTGGTGGTGGTGTGGTGTGTGAGCACGGTGGTGGTGGTGGTGGTCAGTGTACGGTGGTGGTGGTGGTCAGTGTGAGCACGGTGGTGGTGGTGCTGGTGGTGGTGGTGGTGGTGGTGTGAGGTGGTGGTGGTGGTCAGTGTGCAGCACGGTGGTGGTGGTGGTGGTGGTGGTCAGTGGTACAGCATGGTGGTGGTGCACGGTGGTGGTGTGGTGTGTACAGCACGGTGGTGGTGGTGGTGGTGGTGTGAGCACGGTGGTGGTGACTGTGGTGGTGTGAGCAGTGTGGTGGTGGTGTGAGCACGGTGGTGGTGGTGGTGGTGGTGTGTGCACAGTGGTGGTGACTGTGGTGGTGTGAGTGGTGGTGGTGGTGTGGTGGTGTGAGCACGGTGGTGGTGGTGGTGGTGGTGTGAGCACGGTGGTGGTGGTGGTGGTGGTGTGAGCACGGTGGTGGTGGTGGTGGTGTGAGTACGGTGGTGGTGGTGGTGGTGGTGGTGGTGACTGTGGTGGTGGTGGTGGTCAGTGTGGTGCTTGGTGGTGGTGGTGGTGGTGTACAGCATGGTGGTGGTGGTGGTGGTGGTGCACGGTGGTGGTGGTGGTGGTGGTGGTGGTCAGTGTGGTGGTGACTGTGGTGGTGGTGGTGGTGGTGGTGGTGGTGGTCAGTGTACAGCATGGTGGTGGTGGTGGTGGTGGTGGTGGTGGTGTGTACAGCACGGTGGTGGTGGTGGTGGTGGTGTGAGCACGGTGGTGGTGGTGGTGGTGGTCAGTGTACAGCACGGTGGTGGTGGTGGTGGTGGTGGTCAGTGTAGCACGGTGGTGGTGGTGGTGGTGTACAGCACGGTGGTGGTGGTGGTGGTGTGTACAGCACGGTGGTGGTGGTGGTGGTGGTCACGTGGTGGTGCACGGTGGTGGTGCACGGTGGTGGTGGTGGTGGTGGTGTGAGCACGGTGGTGGTGGTGGTGGTGGTGAGCACGTGGTGGCACGATGGTGGTGGTGGTGGTGTGTGAGCACGGTGGTGGTGGTGGTGGTGGTCAGAGCACGGTGGTGGTGGTGTTGGTGGTGGTGGTGGTGAGTACAGCACGGTGGTGGTGGTGGTGGTCTGTGTACAGCACGTCGGTGGTGGTGGTGGTGGTGTGTGCACAGTGGTGGGTGGTGGTGGTGGTGGTGGTCAGTGTACAGCACGGTGGTGGTGACTGTGGTCAGTGTACAGCACGGTGGTGGTGACTGTGGTGGTGTTCAGTGTACAGCATGGTGGTGGTGGTGGTGGTCAGTGTAGCATGGTGGTGGTGGTGTGGTGTGTACACGGTGGTGGTGGTGTGGGTGGTGGCACGGGTGGTGGTCAGTGTACAGCACGGTGGTGGTGGTGTGGTGGTGTGAGGTGTGGTGGTGGTGGTGGTGTTGGTGGTGGTGGTGTGAGCACGGTGGTGGTGACTGTGGTGGTGTGAGCACGGTGGTGGTAGTGGTGGTGGTGGTGGTGGTGGTGGTGGTGTGTACAGCACGGTGGTGGTGACTGTGGTGTGTGAGCACGGTGGTGGTGAGTGTGGCATGGTGGTGGTGGTCAGTGTACTGTGGTGGTGTGAGGTCAGTGGTGGTGGTGGTGGTGGTCAGTGTACAGCATGGTGGTGGTGGTCAGTGTACAGCATGGTGGTGGTGGTGGTGGTGGTGGTGGTGGTGGTGGTGGTGGTGGTCAGTGTACAGCACGGTGGTGACTGTGGTGTTGGTGGTGGTGGTGGCACGGTGGTGGTGGTGTGAGCACGGTGGTGGTGACTGTGGTGGTGTGAGCACGTGGCGGTCAGTGTACAGCATGGTGGTGGTGGTGGTGTGTACAGCATGGTGGTGGTGGTCAGTGTACAGCATGGTGGTGGTGGTGTGAGGTGGTGGTGGTGTGTGGTGGTGGTGGCACAGTGTACAGTGGTGGTGGTGGTGTGAGCACGGTGGTGGTGGTGTGGTGGTGGTGCACGGTGGTGGTGGTGGTGGTGGTGGTGGTGGTGGTGGTGGTGTGAGCACTGTGGTGGTGTGGTGGTGGTGGTGACAGTGGTGGTGTGTGGTGGTGGTGGTGGTGGTGGTGTGTGCACGGTGGTGGTGGTGGTGGTCAGTGTGAGCACGGTGGTGGTGGTGGTGTTGGTGGTGGTGGTGTTGTTGGTGGTGGTGGTGGTGGTGGTGGTGGTGGTCAGTGTACAGCACGGTGGTGGTGGTGCTGGTGGTGGTGGTGGTGGTGGTGGTCAGTGTACAGCACGGTGGTGGTGGTGGTGGTGGTCAGTGTACAGCATGGTGGTGGTGGTGGTGGTGGTGGTGGTCAGTGTACAGCATGGTGGTGGTGGTGGTGGTGGTGGTCAGTGTACAGCACGGTGGTGGTGGTGCTGGTGGTGGTGGTGGTGGTGGTGTTGTTGGTGGTGGTGGTGGTGGTGTGCAGCACGGTGGTGGTGGTGGTGGTGGTCAGTGTACAGCATGGGGGTGGTGGTGGTGGTGGTCAGTGTACAGCACGGTGGTGGTGGTGGTGTTCAGTGTACAGCACGGTGGTGGTGGTGGTGGTGGTCAGTGTTCAGCACGGTGGTGGTGACTGTGGTGGTGTGAGCACGGTGGTGGTGGTGGTGGTGTGAGCACGGTGGTGGTCAGTGTGGCACGGTGGTGGTGGTGGTGTTGGTGGTGGTGGTGGTGGTGCACGGTGGTGGTGGTGGTGGTGAGTGTGAGCACGGTGGTGGTGACTGTGGTGGTCAGTGTACAGCATGGGGGTGGTGGTGGTGTGGTGGTGGTGGTGGTGGTCAGTGTACAGCACGGTGGTGGTGGTGGTGGTCAGTGTACAGCACGGTGGTGGTGGTGGTGGTGGTCAGTGTTCAGCACGGTGGTGGTGGTGGTCAGTGTGGTGGTGGTGTGGTGGTGGTGGTGGTGGTGGTGTGTGTGGTGTGAGCACGGTGGTGGTGTGGTGGTGGTCAGTGTACAGCATGGTGTTGGTGGTGGTGGTGGTGGTTGTGGTGGTGGTGGTCAGTGTGGTGCTTGGTGTGTGGTGGTGGTGGTGTACAGCATGGTGGTGGTGGTGGTGGTGGTGGTGGTGATGGTGGTGGTGGTGGTGGTGGTGGTGATGGTGGTGGTGGTGGTGGTCAGTGTACAGCTTGGTGGTGGTGGTGGTCAGTGTACAGCATGATGGTGGTGGTGGTGGTGGTGGTGATGGTGGTGGTGGTGGTGCACGGTGGTGGTGGTGGTGGTCAGTGTGAGCATGGTGGTGGTGGTGGTGGTGTGAGCACGGTGGTGGTGACAGTGGTGGTGTGAGCATGGTGGTGGTGGTGGTGGTGGTCAGTGTGAGCATGGTGGTGGTGGTGGTCAGTGTACAGCATGGTGGTGGTGGTGGTCAGTGTGAGCACATGGTGGTGGTGGTGGTGGTGGTGCACGGTGGTGGTGGTGGTCAGTGTGACATCATGGTGGTGGTGGTGTGTGGTGGTGGTGGTGGTGACTGGTGGTGGTGGTGGTGAGCACGGTGGTGGTGGTGGTGGTGTGAGCATGGTGGTGGTGGTGGTGGTGGTGGTGGTGGTGGTGATGATGGTGGTGGTGGTGGTGGTGGTGGTGGTGGTGGTGTGGTGGTGTGGTGGTGACTGTGGTGGTGGTGAGCACGGTGGTGGTGGTGGTGGTGTGGTGGTGGTGGTGGTGGTGGTGGTGGTAGTCAGTGTGGTGCATGGTGGTGGTGGTGGTGGTGGTGGTCAGTGTACAGCATGGTGGTGGTGGTGGTGGTGTACAGCATGGTGGTGGTGGTGGTGGTCAGTGTGAGCACGGTGGTGGTGGTGGTGGTGGTGGTCAGTGTACACGGTGGTGGTGGTGGTGGTCAGTGTACAGCATGGTGGTGGTGGTGGTGGTGGTGGTGGTCAGTGTACAGCATGGTGGTGGTGGTCAGTGAGCAGCATGGTGGTGGTGGTGGTGGTCAGTGTGAGCATGGTGGTGGTGGTGGTGGTGGTCAGTGTAAAGCATGGTGGTGGTGGTGGTGGTGGTGGTGGATCTCTGTGTGTAATGAAGTAAGGGCGAAGAGGGAGAACGGCCTATTGACATAGCTCGAGTGCAGGGGGGAGTTGCGTAAAACCCTGTTTTGTGTCTCGGAGAGGCTGCAGGATCCAGTAAGTTCAGTAGAACTTCGGTTTCATCTTCTTTTCCATGTCGTAGCTCAGTCAATTAAGACTGCGTCTTGGATGCTCTCGGACGCAAGTTCGAATCCTCGTCACGGCCCTTGTGGATTTTTTCATAGTCTTTGAAAATGTAATGAATTATTACGAAACGCGTTCAAACGTCGCGTCACACTAGAAATAAAAATTAATTTTGGAGAATTGATTTTTTACCATCGACAGTGAAAAGAAACATAAGAAATATTACCATATATATATATATATATATATATATATATATATATATATATATATATATATATATATATATATATATATATATATATATATATATATATATATATATATATATATATATATATATATATATATATATATATATATATATATATATATATATATATATATATATATATATATGTAACAAAAACACTAAGCCTAAACTACACAGAGATAACACTAGGCCTGGAGAACAAGAACAAAAATACTCACTTTTCGGTGGGGATGAATGAACATAGAGACCATTTTTCATATGTTTTTTGTTGGAGATGTTGTTGTTGTTGTTGTTGTTGTTGCTGGCGGTGTTCATGTCGTTCGGACGACCCGGCTCTGTCTTCGTCATCATGTGAGGTGGTCTCTCAGCCTGTGATGGAACACGGGGGACAGGTGAGGTGAGGGTGGCGTCTGGTGGTGTGGCTACTGCTGGCCAGGTGTGGCTACTGCTGGCCAGGTGTGGCTACTGCTGGCCAGGTGTGGCTACTGCTGGCCAGGTGTGGCTACTGCTGGCCAGGTGTGGCTACTGCTGGCCAGGTGTGGCTACTGCTGGCCAGGTGGCTACTGCTGGCCAGGTGTGGCTACTGCTGGCCAGGTGTGGCTACTGCTGGCCAGGTGCTACTGCTGGCCAGGTGTGGCTACTGCTGGCCAGGTGGCTACTGCTGGCCAGGTGTGGCTACTGCTGGCCAGGCGTGGCTACTGCTGGCCAGGTGTGGCTACTGCTGGCCAAGTGTGGCTACTGCTGGCCAGGTGTGGCTACTGCTGGCCAGGTGTGGCTACTGCTGGCCAGGTGTGGCTACTGCTGGCCAGGTGTGGCTACTGCTGGCCAGGTGTGGCTACTGCTGGCCAGGTGTGGCTACTGCTGGCCAGGTGTGGCTACTGCTGGCCAGGTGTGGCTACTGCTGGCCAGGTGTGGCTACTGCTGGCCAGGTGTGGCTATTGCTGGCCAGGTGTGGCTACTGCTGGCCAGGTGTGGCTACTGCTGGCCAGGTGTGGCTACTGCTGGCCAGGTGTGGCTACTGCTGGCCAGGTGTGGCTACTGCTGGCCAGGTGAGGCTACTGCTGGCCAGGTGTGGCTATTGCTGGCCAGGTGTGGCTACTGCTGGCCAGGTGTGGCTACTGCTGGCCAGGTGTGGCTACTGCTGGCCAGGTGTGGCTACTGCTGGCCAGGTGTGGCTACTGCTGGCCAGGTGTGGGTACTGCTGGCCAGGTGTGGCTACTGCTGGCCAGGTGTGGCTACTGCTGGCCAGGTGTGGCTACTGCTGGCCAGGTGTGGCTACTGCTGGCCAGGTGTGGCTACTGCTGGCCAGGTGTGGCTACTGCTGGCCAGGTGTGGCTACTGCTGGCCAGGTGTGGCTACTGCTGGCCAGGTGTGGCTACTGCTGGCCAGGTGTGGCTACTGCTGGCCAGGTGTGGCTACTGCTGGCCAGGTGTGGCTACTGCTGGCCAGGTGTGGCTACTGCTGGCCAGGTGTGGCTACTGCTGGCCAGGTGTGTACAGTCTCAGCGAGACACACACACAATCACAGAGACAAACATACAATCACAAGGACAAACACACACACAGTCACAGGGACACACACACACAATCACAGGGACAAACACACACAATCACAGGGACAAACACACACAATCACAGGGACACACACACACAATCACAAGGACAAACACACACAATCACAGGGACAAACACACACAATCACAGGGACAAACACCCACAATCACAGGGACACACACACACAATCACAAGGACAAACACACACAATCACAGGGACACACACACACAATCACAGGGACACACACACACAATCACAGGGACACACATACAATCACAGGGACACACACACACAATCACAGGGACACACACACACAATCACAGGGACACACATACAATCACAGGGACACACATACAATCACAGGGACACACACACACAATCACAAGGACACACACACACAATCACAGGGACAAACACCCACAATCACAGGGACACACACACACAATCACAAGGACAAACACACACAATCACAGGGACAAACACACACAATCACAGGGACAAACACCCACAATCACAGGGACAAACACACACAATCACAGGGACAAACACACACAATCACAGGGACAAACATACAATCACAGGGACACAAACACACACAATCACAGGGACAAACACGCACAATCACAGGGACAAACACGCACAATCACAGGGACAAACACGCACAATCACAGGGACAAACATACAATCACAGGACCCTTAACAAGATCAACAAAAAGCGTTAGAATAATATAACAAGTTTTAGTGCCAAAGCCTCTTAAAAATATACCCCAATATACCATTTTCCATATTCCTTATATTAATATATTTCTGAAGATTGCTCTAAATCATGATCCCCAGATTTGTCTCGTATTGAGACTTCCCAATGTTAATATTTCTCAGCTCAGTAGCACCTGCTATGGCTATGTAAGCTTAGAATTATACATTTTTATTCAACTAAAACTGCCAAATCTTTCTACCGTTTTGAAAGCCTGAATTGGATCTTCATGGAGCAAATTCTCTCAATCCTGAATATAATTCCCTTATGTTTCTGAATGGTCTGTAAATATACAAATGTTGCTATTCATCTATCCGTACGGATAGATGAATAGCAACATCTATCCCCCAACCATTACCAGCAACTCCGCAGGCTTCAAACTATCCAGCTATAATCTGGGGCCAGATTCACGAAAGAACTTACGCAAACACTTACGAACGTGTACATCTTTCCTCAATCTTTGACGGCTTTGGTTACATTTATTAAACAGTTTACAAGCATGAAAACTTGCCATTCAACTGTTGTTATTGTTCTAAACAGCCTCCTGGTGCTTCGGAGCTCATTAACTGTTTAATAATTGGAAACAAAGCCGCCAAAGATTGAGAGAAGATGTACAGGTTCGTAGGTGTTTGCGTAGGTGCTTTCGTGAATCTGGCCCCCGGTTCGCAATAACGCCGGCGATACTATGGATCTCTTGACGCAGTGTGGGGGGAGACTTGGTTAAAGTCAAGATACAAAATATCGCAAACCTTCCCGTTATGGGCCTCGTAGCCTGGTGGATAGCGCGCAGGACTCGTAATTCTGTGGCGCGGGTTCGATTCCCGCACGAGGCAGAAAGAAATGGGCAAAGTTTCTTTCACCCTGAATGCCCCTGTTACCTAGCAGTAAATAGGTACCTGGGAGTTAGTCAGCTGTCACGGGCTGCTTCCTGGGGGTGGAGGTCTGGTCGAGGACCGGGCCGCGGGGACACTAAAGCCCCGAAATCATCTCAAGATAACCTTCCCATTGTCAACACCTTCAAATATACAGGAAAAACAATGACGGGAAATTTAGGAAATAGATCAAACCGTGTTTGTGATTCCTGGTGTTTTGTGTTTTTTTTAACATGTAAACAAATGGTTTTGGCGATTATCGATTAAAGCAATTTTCCTACTGTGGACATTTGGCTAATTGGGCGATAAATCGACGCACGTGTTCGATCTCCCGACATTAAATTCGACTAAACATAAACGAACCTCCACGACTCGGTCACACTAACCACTTTTACAAGTGTAAAGTTCCCTGAGGGGAATATTTCGCGTGGCTCTGGGAACTAGTTCGGCTTTAACTTTTATGTATGTAACACTAACCTTATAACTTATAAAAGTAAACTTAGAGGAATCAGACGCCACTTAGAGGAATACCTGGTTGATGGGGTTCTGGGAGTTGTTCTACTGCCCAAGCCCGGCCCGAGGCCAGGCTTGACTTGTGAGAGTTTGGTCCACCAGGCTGTTGCTTGGAGCGGCCCGCAGGGCCACGTACCCACCACAGCCCGGCTGATCCGGAACTTCTCTTAGAAAACCGTCCAGTTTTCTCTTGAAGATGTCCACGGTTGTTCCGGCAATATTTCTTATGCTCGCTGGGAGGACGTTGAACAACCGCGGACCTCTGATGTTTATACAGTGTTCTCTGATTGTGCCTATGGCACCTCTGCTCTTCACTGGTTTTATTCTACATTTTCTTCTATATCGTTCACTCCAGTACGTTGTTATTTTACTGTGTAGATTAGGGACCTGGCCCTCCAGTATCTTCCATGTGTATATTATTCGGTATCTCTCTCGTTTCCTTTCTAGTGAGTACATTTGGAGAGCTTTGAGACGATCAGAATAATTTAGGTGCTTTATCTCGTCTATGCGTGCCGTATATGTTCTCTGTATTCCCTCTATTTCAGCAATATCTCCTGCTCTGAAGGGGGAAGTGAGTACTGAGCAGTACTCAAGACGGGACAACACAAGTGACTTGAAGAGTACAACCAATGTGATGAAGATCCCTGGATTTGAAAGTTCCCTGGAATCAGAAGTCCCCTCTGCCCTTAGGCTACACGGTGTAGCAGAATGGACCGTAGACCTCTGAGGGCTCCAGAGACCTCTGAGGGCTCCAGAGACCTCTGAGGGCTCCAGAGACCTCTGAGGGCTCCAGAGACCTCTGAGGGCTCCAGAGACCTCTGAGGGCTCCAGAGACCTCTGAGGGTTCCAGAGACCTCTGAGGGCTCCAGAGACCTCTGAGGGCTCCAGAGACCTCTGAGGGCTCCAGAGACCTCTGAGGGCTCCAGAGACCTCTGAGGGCTCCAGAGACCTCTGAGGGCTCCAGAGACCTCTGAGGGCTCCAGAGACCTCTGCAGCCCTGGATATTGGACCATTACATGACCCCTCGGCCCTCACCAGGCGCCCCGCACCCCCCACAAGCTAGGCCTGCCCCCAGTCGTGGATAGATTTGCATTCTCAATCAATTTAATTACAAGTATCGTGAGCTGTTAACTGGCTCTTTATAAGATTAGATTACAATCTGCGTAATTGGTAAATTGCAGCCTTCAGCTGTTAATTTATTACCCACAACTTAAAATTATCAGCCCAGGAAGAGCTACAATGTTTCCCTGACTAATTACCTTGCTGTCGTTGATGACCTACCGTTAATTATCAGCCCCACCCGTTAATTATCAGCCCCACCCGTTAATTATCAGCACTCACCCGTTAATTATCAGCCCCACCCGTTAATTATCAGCCCCACCCGTTAATTATCAGCCCTACCCGTTAATTATCAGCCCTACCCGTTATCAGCCCCACCCGTTAATTATCAGCCCCACCCATTAATTATCAGCCCCACCCGTTAATTATCAGCCCCACCCGTTAATTATCAGCACTCACCCGTTAATTATCAGCCCCACCCGTTAATTAACAGCCTCACCCGTAATTATCAACCCTACCCGTTAATTATCAGCCCTACCCGTTATCAGCCCTACCCGTTAATTATCAGCCCCACCCGTTAATTATCAGCCCCACCCGTTAATTATCAGCCCCACCCG